AAAGGAAAAGAAAAGAAAAATCTCTCAGGGCCAGTGGATGAAGGCGCCTGCCAGCAAGCCTTTGCTCCCCCGGGGTACACATGGTAGGAGAGGGCTGATTGTTGCTGGTCGTCCTGAGACCTCCACAGGTGTGCCCTAGCATGTGTGTGTCCACACAGGCCTCCCTCTGGTTCCGACCGGGCTCGTTGCTTCCACGTTGCGGCACAAAGGACCTAACTTCTGGTTGTATTCTCAACAGAAGGATGGACCGGCCCACAGGCCACCGCCCTTCTGCCCGCAGCGTTCAAAGCCCCGGCTGTGAATGCCCGACAGTGGGAACAGCTCCAGCTACCGGTATTACAGTCTTTTGTTTTTTTCAACTAGAGAAGTTTCCAGATGGGGGCAGAACCTTCCTGGCCCCGCCTGCCCGCCCCCTTTGTAAGCTTAGTGGGGAGGAATGCAGCGGGGCGGGGCGGCCCCTAGACGGTCATTGCCATTAATAGAGACCCGAAGCACCGCCTGCTAAAAATACCCGGCTGGACACCCATAAAAGCCCAGCCGGGGCTCCAGCTCGGCACTTCTCGGATCCTCCTCAACCCTGCGCTTCTTGATCCTCAGCCCTGACCAGCACAGCCAAGAACATGACCGAGCGCCGCGTGCCCTTCTCGCTGCTGCGGAGCCCCAGCTGGGAACCATTCCGGGACTGGTACCCGGCCCACAGCCGCCTCTTCGATCAAGCCTTCGGGGTGCCTCGCTTGCCCGATGAGTGGTCGCAGTGGTTCAGCTCGGCGGCTTGGCCCGGCTACGTGCGCCCGCTGCCCGCCGCGACCGCCGAGGGCCCCGCTGCGGTGGCCCTGGCCGCGCCCCTGGCCGCTCCCCTGGCTGTGCCCCCCTTCACTCGTGCGCTCAACCGGCAGCTGAGCAGCGGCGTCTCGGAGATCCGGCAGACGGCCGATCGCTGGCGTGTGTCCCTGGACGTCAACCACTTCGCTCCGGAGGAGCTCACGGTCAAGACCAAGGAAGGCGTGGTGGAGATCACCGGTGAGTCTCCCCTTGTCCCCCACAGGGGAAGAAGCTGGCGGGCTGAGGATGGGGTGGGCGGCGGGGGTGGGGGCGGGGGGAAGCTGAAACCAAGGGGGCTGGGAGCCTGGAAAGTTAGGAATGAGCTCAAGGACCTGCAGACCAGCGTCGTTCTCCCTAGCCAGCTTCCCTTGCTCCGGAACCCAGGGCGCAGGTTCCTCCTAAGAGCCCTGTCATCCTGGATGACAAGGACCAACAGCTGGGGATGCCTTGCCTGGCCAACGGGAGGCCCTGGGTTCTACCCGCAGCACAGAAACAAAAAAGAAAGAAGACGCAACGCACCTTCTGGAAGACCCCATTCCCAAATAAGGAAGTCCTGGGACTCCTGCCAGGGCCCCTAATCCCAGCAGCGGAGGGGGCGTGCACACAGCTCTGAGTGCGCCTGCGCTGGTGTCCAGTCTGGGTCAGAGCCAAGCCCCGCGCCGCGGCCCCTCGCATCCCAAATTCCAGAAACGAACTTTCCGGAAAGTTTTAAGATTCCAGACAGTCAGGCATCTCACCGCACTCTGATTTGTGTGCTGTCACAGAGGCCCAGCCCCTCCTTTAGCAGGTGATGGGGCCTGGTAGGACAGCAGAGGGTTGCCTCTGACCTCCTTCTGTCCCCACCCACAGGCAAGCACGAAGAAAGGCAGGATGAACATGGCTACATCTCTCGGTGCTTTACCCGGAAATACACGTGAGTTCTGATGCCTTACATGGAGCGGTGGGGGAAAGCGGATCCAGGGAGGTGAGCAGAGGGCCCGAGGGTCCGGAGGGATGTGTAACCCTTGCCCTGTTTTCCTTTGTGTCCAGGCTGCCTCCCGGTGTGGACCCCACCCTGGTGTCCTCTTCCCTATCCCCCGAGGGCACACTGACCGTGGAGGCTCCGCTGCCCAAGGCAGCCACACAATCAGCGGAGATCACCATTCCGGTCACTTTCGAGGCCCGCGCCCAGATCGGGGGCTCCGAAGCTGGGAAGTCGGAACAGTCTGCAGCCAAGTAGAAGCCATCGGCCTGCTGCCCATCCCCAACAGTCCGCACTGGCCACCCCTCTCTGTCAATCTGTATGCTCTTTTGATACATGTACTTTCTGTTTTTCTCAAATAAAAGTTGGAAGCTACTGCTTGCCACAGTCTCAGACCCGGTGTTTATGGCGGGCTAGGGATGAGCGCTCTAAAGTGGAGCGTCCTTTGGTGTCTTTGCGATGGGCTCAGCCCTTTCCTGGGTCCAGCCTAACATTTCCCTAGGAAGAGGAGGGGAAAATGGTAATCTGGAGATTAAGATTTTACCAGGGTGGGGCTGGGCATGATGGCTCCTGGCTGTAATTCCAGCACCCAGAAGCTGATGCAGGAGCGTGGTGAAGTTGAGGCCAGCTTGGCCTACAGAGTGAGTTCCAGGAGTGCCTGGGCCACATACTTGCTTTCTCCAAAGCAAAATAAAACAGAAGCAGGAGCTGGGGATGGAGTGAGGTAGAGTGACTGAACGACGACGCGCATGAAGCACGAGTTTGATTCCCCCCCACATCCAATAAACTGGGCATGGTGGTGCACACCTGTGAGTCCAGCACTCAGGAAGTGGAGGAAGGAGGATCAGAAGTTCAAGGTTATCCTTGAGAACATAGCCGTTTGAGGCTAGCCTGGGACACATGAGAACTATGTCTCAAAAGTAAAACAATAGGGGGCGGTTAAGAGCAGTGGCTGCTCTTCCAGTAGGACCCAGGTTCAAACCCCAGCACCCACATGACAGCTCACAACTGTCACAACTCCAGGGGAGGCGGCACAACACTAATGCTCATAAAATGAAAAACAAATAAAAATTTTTAAAGTAAAACGATAAAGAGCCAGGCTGACCTACCACATGTCAGGTCCACAGGAAACTCCTCTCCCCCATTCTGGCACCATACCCTTTTATTAAAGGAGCAATTTCCTTCTATTAGCATATCAAAGTGCATGCTAGCCTCCAGTGTGACAAGTACCCGTGGCTCTTCTCTGATCTTCTCATCCCGTCCCCACCCTAAACTTCTCCAGCTCATGGACTCCCCTCCCACAGCTTCTCATTCCCCTATGACCCTCTCTTGGTTCTCTCTCTCTCTCTCTCTCTCTCTCTCTCTCTCTCTCTCTCTCTCTCTCCCTCTCTTCCTCTCCTCCTCTCACAGCTGGGTCCAGTCTACTGGCTATTTTCTTTCTTTCTTTCTTTTTTTTTTCTTGGTTTTTCGAGACAGGGTTTCTCTGTAGCTTTGCGCCTTTCCTGGATCTCACTCTGTAGACCAGGCTGGCCTCGAACTCACAAAGATCTGCCTGCCTCTGCCTCCCGAGGGCTGGGATTAAAGGCGTGCGCCG